GTTTTCTCTGCCTGTAGCAAGATACTTAGTCAACCCTGACGACAGGTGGGTAATACACACTTAAAGAGCTAATGATAATCCTTCCTACCAAACTGTTGTCATTTGGATCATCCAGTAAATAACAATTCCTATTTATCACTTCCTTTATTATGTATGGACCGCGATAGAGGAGAAAATAAATATTTTTTGTTACATTTTCCCACATCTGAATTGTGGGACTTGTCCTGAAGAGAAACGGGGTACCCACTGCTAACTGATTAACATTGGGTTTTTAATTTTATTTTTGTATTTCTGTGGCCAGTCCTTCTAGTTCTAGTTCTTCAATAGTTTCAGAGCGGCAACAAGTGAGCCGCTCGAAGACACTCGCTGTCGATCCATTCTAGTTTGAATTTCCTTTAGGAGCGCTGCTGCATGGGCGGCGGTGCATACCATGGTATGTCACTTTGCTGTGGTATGAATGGAGGTCACCTAGGACCAAGTGGTTCTTGTTCAACGAAATATAAATTTAATTGGATATGCCAAGATCGAGGTGGTGTAGCAGCAATGTCATTGGTTTGAGGTGGAGACTGATTCTGGTTTAATTTATGCATACTCATGTTGGTAGGGGTAGGCGCACTTTGTTGTGTACTATGGTTACAACTCGGAGGACACTGTCGTTGTTTCTGCTCTTCCAGCCGCCTTTTGACGGGCGGCTGACTAGGTCGTTCATCACTAGTTTCCCTTTCGTTATGTATATTACAGCGGGGATCGGAGACTCACTGTTTGATTTATGTCCGGATCTGCGGGTGTTCCAACTATTTTTGTTGTAAATACCTTTACTCCGGCTGTAGGGTGCATTGTTGCAACTCCAATTAAGGTTGTCCTGTGGTGGAGCAAACAGCCTGTTCACTAATGGCCCATTTCGATAGTTACTCCTTTGTTGGTCTCGCTGTTGCCAGGGTTGATACAGGGGTGGTGATTTATATTGTGTCATTGGTCTGTCGCCCTCTTTTTCTTTCTATTGTTGCTGTTTGTCAATCTGGTCACAACATAACAAGGCCTCCCGACATTCTTGGAGATTTGTATGCCATCTGCATGTAAACTGCAATTGATATCGATAAGAGAGCTGTGATATCAACATTGCGTTGAATTTCTCATCAGATATAGGGGGATCTGTAAGACGGGACCTCTCATATACTTCACTTAGGTGTTCCTGTAGGGTCTTATTTTGCCAGGAAGAAATCTCTCTGCATGTATTTCAGCCCTTAGCAAACCTCTCACTCTGGGGTTCCAATAATGAGTAATAAATTTATTTTTGAAGTAAGAGAAAGTTGCAGTCTGCTCTATTCGTAATTCCCACCAAAATAATGCAGGCACTTTTAGTGCTTATTTCAAACAGCGCAAATTACCGGCATCGTTCAAATTGAACAGTTTGGCATACTCGTTAAAATTTATGCAGAAAACTAACAGGATTCTCTCCACTTTTAGCTGAGAAGTAGGCATTTCTTCTACCCTTTTTCTAGCAGGATGGTTGCGGGAAAGATACTGGGTTAGGTAAAGCTGGAACGGAAACAGTACAGATGTGTATATTGTCACTGCATTGTTCCAAGACATCCTGGTCTCTATTAGGGTTGCTGATCAGCATGCAAGCAATTTCCCGTCTCTCAAGTACCTGCAGATTTTGTACCTTGGTAGTAAGGTCGGCTGGTCAACCTCCTTCAATTTTGACCCTAGCTTCATGAGCAGCTTTCTCTTGTGCCTGTAATTTGGAATTTATGTGGCTTTCAAATGAGTCAAGTAGTCTCATAAAGTCTTGTTGGTAGACGTGTCTGGTTTCTATTGAGTTTGCTAATATGTCTCTTGCGGCGAACTTATTCTGTTGTCCAGATTGGTTATAATTTGTGCCGTTAACTCTCTAGTGTTTTCTAGCTATTGACCAACTTCATTAGTATGCTCACTAAAGGTATTTTGTAAATCTTTAAAATTGCCGTGTAGGTTCCCTTGATCTATTATTTATTATACCTGGCAATTGAATTGGGGAATCTGGCTGTTAACCCGGTTACACACTTTATCTAACCAAACATTCACACTACCCCAATGCTCTGACATATTTCGTGTTTGCTCATGGATTTTGACCTGTGGTTGTTGAATCATTGCCTGGTTATTAGCCCGTATAATGACCTGGAGTTGCTGAAATAAGATATTATCTGATAAACTTGGGACTGTGTTGTCTGATGTAGTTGGTTCATTATGTAATTGTGCCACTTCACTGTTTGCTTTAGGATCCTGTATGTTCCCCATGCATGATGTGTCTGTCACAACTGTGTGTGTCACAAAATTGTAATCTGAATGTGATTTACCAAGTTCAGCTCCCTTGCCTAACCTACTCACTGTTTACCTGCTGCTACTACAATTTTCCCTCAGAAGTAGGATGTTCTTGTCTTATCTGTCATTTATATGCAGCGAACCTAACTATGGCGACTACAAACTATTTCGGCGCCACTTATTGGGCGGACATTTCTGTGGTGTGTGGTATGAAACATTTCCATTGATAAACAGGCATTAGTATGTGATGTGAGTATGATAAATAAATTAATGTTAAACTGAGAATTTTTTCCAAGCTTGTGGGATCAGTATAAGTAGGTTGAAAGATTGTATATGCAAAACTGAACACAAGGAAGCGCTTAGAAATAATTAAATATTCATAAATGTACCATAAATGTATTGAAAAGTGTAATAAGCCACCAATAATATAATAGTAATAAAAAGTTTATATATGAATATTACTTATGCCAGGGCAGAATATATTAATATAATGATTCTTTTCACTTCAATTTCTAGCTATGGTGAACTGCGAAAGAAATGCCTGTAGTGTTTCACTATTCTTGAGTAATATTATTTTTTATTTAACTGTTTATATTATTGTCAGCCATTCCTACGAATGTATACTGACCTACTTTTGTTGTTATGTGTTCTTGTTGTTAATACTTAAAATGATTGAATATTTTATATTTTGCGGAGTTCTGATGTTACTATGAAAAGCTGTTTCTTATTTATTTTTCTTGGATTGTTTATTTAGGTGGTAATATAAAAACAGTGCATTCACTAACTAATCATTGGCAAAGCTCCGGCTAACATAAAACTGATGTCAATAAGCATTTTCAGGACCTCTGAAATAGATGTTTGCAGTCGATACCATAAAGATATTCAGTATTTTTAAAAATATTAATCTTCCTGAAGCAGCTAATAATTAATATTTTAAACATTTATTCGTAAGCAGTAACGTCCATAGCACAAACAAGAAAGTTTCCAAAAATTAACATATCGCTTATTTATTAAAACAATAATTCCAAATTAAATACTATGTACACTTGTAAATCTGTGCAGGATAGAGTAAATATTTTATGTTCGTATTAAGTAGTAATTAATAAATAAAATTAATATTAAAACATACACATATAGTGATTTTCCAATCGTTATATTTTGAACAAATAATTGATTTGCAGTTACCAATGATTTGGTTGGCGATACTTGTCCACGCTGAGAGAAAGGCCGATAAAACATTTGTTTCTATAGGTCCAAAAATATATATTTTTTGGGTAAAAATAATTATTAACAAAATTAAATTTGTTCATCTAACAAAACAATTATTAGAACGAAACTTTTGTGTTGGGCCAAAGGCAATTAGACTGTCTCGAAAATATTTTGTTAAACCAACAGCATATATTTTTTTGCCTTCGTTTAAGAATACATCTCGAGAGTTTTTTAGAATTTTTCTTGACAACTAGGTTAGTAACTAGTTATGGACACATGCACAGTACTTTCTATAATTATGCTTTATGCGCAACACGTCACGAGTACATACGGCGAAAGTAACCTTTTTGACTGTGAAGTTAACTTGCCATATAATACCGCTTTGTTTCGGTACAGACGAATCTTAAAACGTTTCTTTCAGTCACTGGTACAATCTTTCTATTTTTAGATAGTGTAAGGAGATATTTTTTGTTTCAACTGTATCTAAGTAATGCTCAATTGTCGTCAGGAAAAAACGGAGAACGTATATTCTGTTCGATATTGCTGGCAGTAGCTATTTATGACCTCAACAACGAAACAATCACTTTCACCTTTTGAGAACAGCTCGACCAAAACGTACTTCCTGTGCAAAGCGTCCTCTTTGTTGTGCACTATGAAGAGGTTAAATACGCTGTGCAAGATATTAGTTCAGAGTTGACTTGAGAGAGACCTGAGCGGCTCTTAACAACGAGGTTCTGAGAGCCGATGAGGGTGAATATCATAGTTACTCTAATGCTCGAGAACTGAATATCACTACATCAGCACGACGCTTAAATGGGAGTGAGAGAATTGCTTGGGGAGCAGTGATTTTGCTGGTTCGCAATACCGCTATATGAAGAGGAATTTTCTTTGTTCCAACTGTGTTCCAAGTGTACATGAAAGCCTCTTCGAGATTGTGGAAAGGCGTTCACGTATTCGTGAAACGCCGACAGAGAAGAGGCCAATAGGTTGGGCGTGGCGTCTCGTCGAATAGTGATGGGATAATCGCTTGTGAAATAATCAATTGTTTGATTATTTAATTATAATTGATTAATCTAATATTATTTTTAAAAAAATTCTATTATCTACGATTCTCAGCTGTTTATACTTGAAAAAAAAAAACCAAACATTCCAGATACCTACATGTTTCACATTAATAAAAAATTTTAATAAAAAAATTTGACAATCAACAAATTTACAAAATAGCAAAAATTATTTTAAAAAATAATCTGAAAAATTTTTGGTGAGAAGAGTTTTTAAAAAATGTATAGAAATATACAGCATTTGCGATCAATGTATAGGCATGGATTAGAACAGGATGACAATCGATTATTTTCAGCGATTATTTATTCGATTAAAAAATGATCGTAATCGATTCATTCGAATTACAAAATTTTGCGATTATCCCATCACTATGAAAGGTACTCAGTGAAGCACGGTACCGTGCTGGAGGTCCCGCGTTCAGTTCCCAGCCTGGCCGGGAATTGAACGCGGGACCTCCAGATTGTAGTCCAGTACTTTACCAACTGCGTCTCCTAGCTCAGTCAGTCGACCAAGATGAGGTTGTAACAGGTGCATATTGTACGCGCGGGCAGTATCGATTCCTGATAATCGCCTTCGCTACCAGACATGAAAGCAGTCGTTAGGAGAAAGGGAGTAGAACTTAGTCTGCGGGATAATGAAGCACTTAGCGTCGGGGTTCTAGCAAGCGCGGAAAAGTAGGACATCTATCGAACGACTACAGATTCCCAATGCGGAATAAATTACATGGATAAATGAAGTTATTCGTGTGACCGGATTTGTGTCAGCTGATAAAGCTTGGCTTCACCTTTTATGTTTAAATTTCTCCTTTTCGTGTCATAATTTTAGTTTCAGGGTAATTGTTAAGAATTTCAGACTTCAGAAAATGTAAATTTTACAAGACGTTTAAAATTCTGTGTAATTAATTTTAGTGTCGTTTGATAGTTCGAAAAATCGCATTAAATTACTGATATTTTTACAATTTATCTCTCTAGAAATTAATTGGGCTATACCAAGTTCGTTAAGGGATGAAGGTCTTAATTAAATAAAATAATTAATTATAATTTCCTTATTTTACTACATTCTCTGAACTCAAATTCTCACAATAAATGGATATCACTAACTGTTCACAACTGACACCAATTATTAAAAATTATAATTACGACAAATAAGTCAATGAAATTAAATAATTAAATATTAGTCCCGATAGACAGTGTATCAACCTATTAAATTATTTTATTATTTATGCATCTGTATTCGATAGTTTGAATATTTACAAAAAAATCAGTATTACACTTACATTCAGTCTCATACACTTAGTTCAGTCCATGTCCCGCTAGTCGCAATGTTCTAGAGTCCTCTAAGCGCCCTCACGCACAGTAGGTTTCACTCGTCGGTTTCACACCCTTTCGTCAATTCAAGACAAGAACACCTCACCCGCCATCGTCCCGCAATCTCCAGTCGTCGTTCACCCTTTACTTCGCTCGCGCGCACTCGGCCAGACGGCCTTTATCAAAGACTGCCGGCCGCTGGGTTGCGGCAATATATATATATATATAGTCTTAGACCATATATATAGTCTTAGACCACCACTTAAGACTCTTCCCCAACTCCCGTGATGCGTCGCGAAGGGCCGAGGCACCAGCCAGTCTCACCAGAACGTTCTTGCGTCGTGGCCAGACCTGTCGAAACCTCCAGCAGGGGAGAGGGGCCGTCTCGCATGCAAGGCGCCGAGAAACGCGACAGCCCGACCCCTGTCCATTATTCACGGGTTTCCCAGAAAGGGTGGTCAGGAGGCAATCCCGGCGGAGGGGAGGGATGAGGTGGGTCCACCGCCACATCGCCGGGCAGCAGCGCGTAACTATAATTTTAATTTGGCATTATTCTATTTTTATGAAAAAGTGTTACGTTGATATTTCGGATTGTGTATCTGTACTGCAGAGTGCTTTTCCTGTATAGTAACTTCTGGTCAGTTTCACTTCGCAGAACTTAAATCAACAGGAAACCAAAGAGTACGATTTAGTGAGTGACGATGAGCCTTAACCCCGGTATACTCCATTCACTCTGTTACATCCGACTTTTCTGAAGCCCTACTATAGTTCTACCTCCAAGATATTACTCCGCCTCGCGCAAAAATGCTTGGGAAATTTTACTAGAAAAACTACGCATCGCATTCATGCGCAGTCAACGTAATACAATTTTGCATAAGAACTATTTCTTACTACACTCTAAGTATGAGTCAGTGAGAATGTCACTGTTTCAATCAGTCAAACGTATCTGACCTATTCAACAGTGAAAAAATACCAGATTTCCTTTACTTATTGAATCAGTGACATTTTCCACTGATTTGTCAGTCATTTTTTTCACTCTTTACTCATGTGGTTTATATTTGACCGATGGACCAGTTAAACAGCGTGTAAAAATGGCTGTCATACAACGTGTATCAAGTGAAATAACAACCGATACAAAATACTTTCTAAAATGTGTTTCGTCTTTCAAAACACCATTTTATGAGGTAATAGAATAACACAGCCTTTTATTCCGTTTTTACGTCTTTCATTTCGTTTTTATGTAATCTTCACAGTGTTCCGTTTGAGGTTTTAAACTGCATATAATATAACGAGGAGAGGGCACTCATATATACTATTCGTTTTAACAATCCTAACGGTACCAATTAAACCAAATACGAAAAGTAAGAACATACAATATAAAACATATATTTTCCTCTTGTCAATTTAACTCGGCGTGGTAGAGCAGGTGGTGAGAACGGAAAGGTTTATGAGTTAAATTTTGGCCACCTCCGAAAATGTTTTTACTTTTTTAAATGACGATCAAATGGGCAATATAAAAAGGGAAACTGTCTTAAATATGTTTATTTCACGTAATTATTTGGCTGCATTCAATAAAAACGATATTTAATTCGCCACTGTAGTCGTCCGTCATTTATTCAATCAGTGAAATAATTTCACGTCATTAATTCAATCCGTGAAATTTGCGTGGAGCATAACACTATAGACTTATTAACTCAGGTATACAGGTATTTGGAAGCCATCAGAACTAAACGAAGAAAGTTTTATTCTTAATAACGGTTTAAGGCTTAAAAAATGTATCATTCGCATGCTTTACTGTCGAGTTATTTCTTACGTCGTTTATTTGTACAGTTCATCGCGGTAAATTATCAGGTAAATTATTTGTCACAAAGTTCGTAGAAACTCTTACCTTAGATTTATAAGTGCCTGCGTACAGCCTTGGACGTGGCAACTGCGCATGCGCGTGTGAAAAGAGCCACTTTTTAACCAACCATCCTAGGTTAGTTTAAAATAGAGAAGCACTCATTCACCTTGTATCATAGGTCAGGTTAGTTAAACTAGAAAAACAAGTATTCATCCTCTATCCTGGGTTAGTTTAAGATGATGAGGGGGGGTGGGGTTCCTGTTAGGTTGGGATACTAAGCTGAAAAATGAGGAATTGAAAGCGCATGCGCAGTATTTGTAGCCGCCTGCAAACGCTTGCGCAGTACACATGGCTTCGGCTAACAGACACTCGTATGATTTTCCTTTCTTTGGTTTTCTATTTAAACTGCAAATGTGTGTAAACGCCAGTTGACTTGTTCTGCGTTAATTTATGCCCGACGGCAACGTTAATGGAGAGAAACTACGGAAATGCACTCGATGTCTGAAATATGGAAATAAATAACGCTGCCAAAAGTTAGCTTGCTGGAAATGTATTTATCGTTAGTTTTGTTTGTTTGGAAACAAAGCCGGTGAATAAGTTTGTTTCTTTTGTGTGTTGCAGATGATCAAGATGATGGTGATCGTGGTGATTGTCTTCACAGTATGCTGGCTTCCATACAACAGTTTATTGGTGAGTTAGAATTGCCGACTGCATTTCGCTCTGTGCCCTACTTACATCGAGTCCGAGCGAGTGTGTCGTCTTAAGGTTCAACTGGAATCACATATTGTTTCGGATAAGAAAGGTTTCGTGAGGATTTCCCTTGCTCATTTTTAGCTTACTTTCTGAAGGGAAGAAATAATTATGAGGTCACTTCCCTGTGAGTGAGTGTGTGTGTGTGTGTGTGAATGAGGCTTGGTGTGTGTTTATCACCCTAAAAAATGTTGAACCCGTGAACAAAATTCACCAAACTGGGTACACGTGTAGTTCTAAGTAAATACATCAAGCTGTTATAGTTTCCATCCACTCCAGATGCTTATTTTAAGTCCTTAAAATATCATCCCCCGAGTACAATCGTTCACGAATGACCCGTTGAAAAAATAGGTTAACTTATGGTCAGTCCTGTACGAAATCAGAAGCCAGCTCCTATACTAAAAGCACCTTTTTACCTGTCTACTAGGCTACTATTCGCTGCTGCCAGTGGTGTCAACATTGGTCCCTGCCGGTGCCACGAGACAATATAAATTATTTTCATAGGCTCCATCACGTAGGTTATTGCATGAAATTCTTAAGTATTTCTCAAACCAAAAATCTCCGCTTTTGCAGCATCTGGACCGAAAGAATTATTGTGCAAGCTAAGTGGTTACAGTGTACTGCAGCCATTTGGAAATGCACTACTCTATGTCATATATAGGCAACCATTTAACCGATTGTTTCAAACAAATCTGGTATGTCGAGAGCCGATGAGGATGAAGCGGGGTGAGTTGGAGCAAGGGCGGGGGAAACGCGCCGACCAGCGGCATGGTACGACCCGATTCCTACTACATTGGGAAATCCGCAGTGAGGGGGGGGGGGAGGCCCTGCCGGGAATCGAATCCGATTCGCCAAGGTAGGAAGCGAGTAGTCTAACCACTACACCACCGCGGCCCCGACAGTTATTCAGGAAAGATTCAAACGCGCTGTGAAGTTGCCATATTTATATTTCTATATTTGCAGCCTGATACACAGGGTGAATCTAAATTATACCGACAAATTTCGACAGCAGATTAATCCCGGAATGCCGACCTCCCGTGGCGCGCCACCAATCTGAGGTGCGGGAGGCTCTGGGTTCAAATCCCGAGCTATACACGAGCGTTCATTAAATTATGTTATTAGTTAGTCTGCAAGCCGTCCCCTGCTAAGCTTTCACTGTAAAAACGCTTTCTTTGTTGCAACACATGATCTTTTGCTACAAAGAAACAATGCAAAGTAGCCTTGCCACGAACATGTTTTTTGTTCAGCTATATAATAATGAAAATGATAACCATGCATGGTCGTAACAGAAGTTCCGCATATTCTTTTGTGGTAATATTAGTCACACTGTAAAGGGAATTTGTGCTTTGATAAACAAACGTAATTAGTAAATAAGAGAGAGGTAACAAATATTTGGAAATAATACTCACAATAAAAGTAGGGCGGCTCTGAAATTTGAATCCACACCCCTTTCGTTACTAACATGACGTTCTGTACCCCACGACTACTTTGTCTTCTTGCGTTCGTGATAATTTGAGGTAGTAACATGGGCCAGAATACAGTGCCATCTCTTGGGAAGAACTGAGATTAGTGACTTGGAGAATCACTGCACCGAACT